ACTAATATTCATTTAGCAGCTAAATGCAAAACTTATTTTTGAATTCCATGGGGTTCAACTTTTTGAATAAGAGAATACACACTAAGTCGTGTACTTTATAAGGTGCTATCTCATTAAAATATAAAAAAAAAAATATATTTTTTTAATCAATATATTTTGTGTATGGTGAATGAGAAGCACTTTTTTTATGTATCAAACCATTTTCTTCACAGACATTCTATAAGAAAGTATTTTTCTCTTACATCACATTTTAGAATTTTGATTTTTCAACTTTTTTATTTTTCACAACAGATTTATATTCTTTAAATTTCTGAACAGCATCTTTTCTTTTAATTTAATAGAGATAAATAAATCTAAAATAATAATCTATAAAAGTTATAAAATATTTCTTTCTTCCTCTAGTTAATTTTGTCGTTTAATTTACATATAAAATATTCCTTATTAATATCCTCATTTTCTTTCAGCAATGATATTAAGAATTCTTTTAACGCTTTATCATTCAACCTCAGCCTATGTGGACTATCCTTCAAAATAGGGATGTTACTTTTACCAATGAGTATCGCCAGAGCAACGATTAGGGGATAACTGGTCTTGATTCTTGTGAATCTCAAGAGCTGGTTCTTGCTTGCATTAGGCTTTAATTCGAAGATTAGTCTCTCATTTCAACTTTGGATCTTGTAATATTACATGGCGTAAAGAAACAAGAGTTCTAGCAGCATTATTAACCTCATCGTCCTTACTCGAACTTCCTTTAATGTCTTTTCCTCAAAATCTATTTCCATTTTTTGCTAAAGCAAAGGCTTTTCTTCAAATTTCTTTCCTTTCTTTGTTCTTCTGACCAATTAAATCTATTTTCTTGAAACCTTAAAAACTCATTCCAATACTTAGGGCCTATTTGGCTTGGTTTTTTTTTTTACTTAAAAAGATATTATGAAGCTTTTATAAAAAATAATAGCTTTTAAAATTAACTGTTTAGTAGATTTAACTTTATAAGCTTTTTTTTATAGATAAGTTATTAAGCAAAACAATTTATATAGGTCTTAATTTTGATTAAAATTACTATAAAATATATTTAATAAATAACTTTCTATTAATCATCAATTCCTTTATTTACAATGAAAAAAAGTTAACTTTATTTTTTTATTTATTTTAAAAAAAATTAAAAAATATAAAAAGCATTTTATATAACATAAAATTTATAATTTATAATAAATCATATGAAAATGGAAATGGATAATTTTAGGATTATTTGTAATAGATGACAATATTTTTGAAATAAAAAGAAAATTTTTTTAAAAAGGAGGTATGTTTTTAAAAAAAAGAAAAAAGGAAGCTTATATTTGGAACATTTCCTAAAGCTCTTTTTTTAAAAAAAAAAATTGTTCTTTAAAAAAAATTACTTTTTTTAAGAGTTTTTTTAAAATTCCTATTTAACTTGGTTTCTACTTTTAAAAAGTAAATAAATTAAAAAAAAAGACACTCAAAAAACAACTAGTTAAATATCTATTAAACAAAACAATTAGTAAAATATTAAATTTTATTAATTTTTTGAAATGTTAACAAAAATAATTTTTTCCCAATAAACTAGGAGTACAAATGCAGACAAAATAATCAACAAATTCTACACTAAACGAAGAAGGGTATGTAATAGAGCTCCATGTATAGGGTACATATTATATCGATCAACTTGAAATGTCTTTTAAAGACATTTTTCATCCACCTTCTCTGCTTTTTGGAATCAAACCTACTCGGAGAATAATATCAAATAATTTTTCTTTACTAATTCTAAAGCAATATAATAATTCCTTTGCCAAATTTATTTATACCATAAAAATGTTAATATTAATGGTAGAAATTTTAATCCTAGTATTTCACGGGCACAGGAGTTCCTGGTTTTGCTTTTGTTAGTTTCGTTGGACATCTTAACACCAAGATATATAGAAGAATTTTTGACAAAATATCAAGTTATTAATTTAGACATACAATTCATACATTCTACGTACTCGACAACAATATTTATAATATATATATATTTTTTCTAGCCCAGTAATTATGTATATACATCCAATAATTTAAAAAAAAAAAACTATGAAAAGTAACTCTTGTCGGTGCTACAAACATTATTCTATTTCTATGTATTAATTAATATTGAGAACTAGTGGCTTTTGGTTGGCGACCTTCTCCAAGTGATGGCAAAGCAAAGATTGTGGGTGTGCCTATGGCGAAACATCCAAACAGTAACTATATCGGATTCTTTCAGCGCATGGTCTTTGTAAAACCTTTTCCAACCCGAAGTCGTAAGCACATACATCTTGGAAGTCCAGAAAACGAATTTCATTGGATACTCCTTCCCTTCCGGGTCGTATGTAATGACCGGGATTCCCTTGTTGACATCCTCATGTTCTTTGAGCAGTGGTATGAAGGATTCTCCAACATGATTCTTGTTCAAGCTCAGCCTTGTTTGATTATCCTTCAAATCAGTCTCCGTCAGCTGCTTCGAATAAGGCTTGCTACATTCGCCAATGAGGTCGGCCAAAGTTGCGACGGGAGGGATATTTGGGGGTTCACACTTGTCTAACAGTATCAGCTGTCCTCTCTTTGCGGCTGTGTCTTGCTTGACTTTGCCTTTAAGCCGACGAAGAACCTCTCTTCTCTTTTGTTCCAAATCAGGAGCACCGTTCCTGAATGAAGCAAGTATGAAAGCAGCATTAACATCGTTCTCATTCAAGAATCCTTCATTCAAAATTTCTTCAATGGATTTGGACTTGTTGTCTCTATGGTCTTTCTTCATGCTTTTACTAAAAGAAATAAAAGGCTAGGGCTTTATTCACTTTCATAAATAACCCACTTTTATACACATTTACACAATTTAATTCTTGTCTGGGAAAAGGTGTTGTTTGATTACAACTCTTAACCAGGTAATGCACAAGCATGCAGTTCTGAATCAAGTATGGTTGGGTTATTTTTATTTAATTTCGAGCATATTTTCATGCTTAGGTAGAACTCTCTATTACTATGACCAAAACCAGGTTGTGTCACTATGAAACCCAAACTCTGAAAAAAAGGGGGTGGAATTGGAAAATAGCTTTCTTTTTTAATGGTAGGAGGGAACCAATAGAAAACAATCAATTCCTATTTTTCAATCCTTTTATGCTACTTTATCATCCATTTATTCTTCAAAAATTGCTTTCTTTTTAGACTA